GGGTTAAAAGAGCGTGAATGGAGTTGTCATAAGCCAAGAAAAAACGTAGATCTCTTAATTTCAAGATACAAGGGACCACATAATAAATCTTTGGTCTTTATGAAATACTTTCTCATAGATAGACTTAAAGTAATTCAGAGAGACAAGCGACTAAACTTGGAATCAAGACTATCGTAATAAAAAGACAAGTAGAATAAAGGACATTGGACGCTAAGACTCCATTCTACATAACAAAGCGACATCAGGGTATAGTACAACGCAGGAAAGCTCGACGAAGTTATAGGAAATTAGAATTACAAATTAATAAATCATATTTTGTAATATGTAGGCAAATCTTACCCGTTCCAGTTTTTGAAAATAGTTACGCAGGAATTGGACAGGATTGTCCGGTCGGCAGACGCATAGCTGGACGATACAGTCTTTGAGGACGCGCTGAATGCCATGCGATTGTATATAATGCTCGCATTCGCGCAGGCTTTGCTCCTCCAGAGTTTTGGCCATCATGTAAGACATGTGTTGACTGTGTGTGCGTGTGCTTGTGTGTGTGTGAGCTGAAGGTAAAGCGTTGATGCTGAATCGTTGTAGTGGTTTATCTTTTCTCACTCTGCAATACGCAATATGCACTGAGCTATCTGTATATGCCTTCGTCGAATGTATGTGTGAATGGAAGGGTGTGTGCGACTGTGTGTAGGTGTATGTTTGGCTGTGGTTTCGAGCTGCTGTTGCCGCAGCTGTTGAAATTGCAACACACTACAACAAAATATCAAGTAAATAACTTATTGAACAGGGGCGTCGAGTGCAACGCGAGCACCACTTGAGTTTATGTACATATGCATATATGTTTATGTACGTATGTGTGAACGTGTAGTTTTTTCTTTTTGCTTTTGCTTTTTGCTTTTACGTTTTGCTTTTGGCACTGTTTTCACTTTTGCAATTCACGTTGTTTAACAGCGCTGCGTTTCGTTGCTGCTGTTTGGCGTTTGCCTGGTCGTTTGTTGCACCATTTATAACAATATCTGTGCGTTTTCGTGTGAGTAAAATACTGTTTTTTCGTTTCGTCTTAAAAACTTAACTAATTTTCACGCACGTAAACCACTACAGTTGTTGTTGTTGATTTTTTTTGTGATATAGTGATGGGCGGCAAGTGTGAACAGATGATTATACAAAAATACCGAAACACTTATGTCAGGCAGTGCTATCGATAACACAGACACAGCCTAAACTTATAAAACTTCCAACGGAAATGTATCATAATATTGCACCTAAGTAAACAAATTAAATTAGAATAATATAAATGAATTATAAAATATCACTTTGAGTAATATATTGATTAAAAACCAAAATAATTCATGTCAGCTTTGTCAGCGATACAATGTCAGCTTGTTAGCGATACAAGTTTAAGCTTAAAAAATACTAAAACTTATTTATATCGTTTGTACCAATCGATAGCAGCTGCAAACTAAGAGCTTACAACACTCTTATTTGATTGTCAACGAAACGCGCTAACTTGAACGTTCTAATTCTTATTAAAAATATTTATACAAGCTAAAAACATTAGCTATGTGGATGATGCAAGTGAACAGCAATTGCTTGTGCCGTCAAACAAAGGTTAGTTGCTGTAGATGTCAAATAGTCGGAGAATATTTGGAATGCGCCGTTTAACTCGTATATTGGTTTATTGATTTTTCTCGGATTTAGCTAAAATGCTGCACACGGATTTACTGCCCAATCATCAAGGTATCTACACGCCGCTAAGTCAGGCAATGACCGATTCTGAATCCGATGAAGAAATTGAAATACATAACGCTAATAAGCATCGACTCCAGCATCAGCTACACCAGCAACAATTGCAACTGCAACAGCAGCAATCGCAGCTGCAACAACAGCAACAATTTCAATTGCAACAACAGCAACAACAACGCAATCGCATTCGTATACCACCTAATACATTAGCTTTAAAGTCGCCACATACACAGTCGAAGCAACAGCAGCATCAACAAAGACAGCAGCAACAGCAACAGCAACAATTTAACAACAGCAACTGCAGCAGCTACACCACCAATATGCAAAACACATTTCGCTCAGTTATGCTCAGTGATTTGGGCAGCAACGCCGCCAGCAATGTGGGCGTTGAGTTCTCAAATTTTGGTGCCGAATACGAAACGAATGCGGATAATGTCGCCATATTGGGTCATCAATCGGATCAATCAGAATTCAAGCGGTCGCCCATGTCCACGAAGAGACGTTGCTGCTTCATAGCCTCGCTGCTGCTCTGTCTGTTCGCTGTGGTCGGCTTCGTTTGGATCGTTCCCTGTGGCCCAGCAGATGGCACTGGAGTTTGTCCAGCGCCCGTGGATCGTCAAAAGACTCGCAATTGGTTTAAGAACTACACCAAAATCGAGCTGAGAGGTGGAGTTAATGTCGTCGCTGGTTTACGTGCCTGGGAGAACAATTTGATATTTTTATATCGTGGCGATGTTTTCTTTCCGGACTCACGTCCCAACAATCATAAGCGCAATGGCATAATCTCACTGATTGGCAGCTCCGGCGATGTAGCATGGTACGATGAGACAGTGGATGAACCCGTGGCCATTGACTGCACCTTACTCGACGTGGATCTCAATGGCAAGCCGGATTGCTTGGTCATCGAAGAATACGGCGAAGTGGGTGCTATTAATTCGGGAAGCGGCGAATGGCACTGGCGCTTCAAGGATCATGCTGCACAGAAGCTAAATGCGCACGACTTTCCACTGATACTGCCCGATATTGATGGCGATGGCGTGTTGGATATATTGTTGATATCCAGTCTCTCGCTGGAGCAGCGCACCAAGACGCTTATCCAGCAGCAACAGCCAAAGCAAACGCAACAACAACTCGAAGCACGCAACGTGCTGCGTCTGTTGTCAGGTCGTCGAGGTCGACCCATTGGCGAGGGCTTTCGCATACACGACTGCCAGAAGCTCAGCCGTCTGCAGCTGAACGTCAACAACAACATCAGCTACAGCTGCACCTCCAGCACAGATCAGCCGCCGCAACAGCGCTTCAAGAGTCTCGCCGAGCTGTATGCGCTCATCACCAACAAATCGCTGATGGGTCGACGTCTGATGCCCGCCTCCAAGATTGCTCAGCATCGCAAGCAAATGGATACACAGCGCAATGTTTATCTGCTCAGTGGCAGGGAGCTGATCCTCGAGAATCGTGGCAAATGCCCCGACTGCAATGTCACGTTGCAGCTGAGCGAAATGCGCGATGGTCGCCGGCATATGCTGTACAATCAGACGGAAACCGCAATGTACGGCATGGCGCCAGCTCAGTGGCACTTCAAGAACAGCAAGTCAAAGGTGTCCGGATTCGTCATCAAGTTCTGGAAGTGGATCAGCGAAGTCAAGGCAAAATCACCGCCGGCGAGCAACAGCAACAACGTGGACAAGATGAACAACTACACCAACAGCAGCAGCAGCACTAGCGCCAAAAATCTGAATAGCATAAAGGAAAAGGATAAGAACAAGGATAAGATATACTCAAAGAACCAGCAGCAACAGCAACAACAACAACACCAGCAGCAGCAGCAGCAAAAGAAGCAACAACAGCAGCAGCAACAACGGCTTAAAAGGGATTCACTCACTCATCAATTTCCCGCCGAGCATGAGGAATTCGATCTGTTCCATCCGATACAAAAACGTGAAACGTTTCGAAATCAGAGCAAATCCGTTGCCGGCCTGATGAAGAACTATAAAATGCAGATGATAACTGAAACAGTTATATTGGTATTATTCATTGGCGCCGATACGCGCATCGTGAACACCTCACAGAGCAACATCATCCAGTTCTGTCGCAGCGATCGGAACGAAATGATCTGTCAGCCAGACTTGCTAAACCAAGAGAACTCCATGCTGATCGCAGATCTTGATACGGATGGCTCACAGGAATTGGTCTCGTACATGTCCACGTTTGTGAAGCCCAGCGAATATCCGTACACTGACTATAAACTGATCAGCTATGTGCGATTGCTGCGCATCCAATCCGAGCTGCCTGCCTATTACGAGCAGGAAAAACTGAACTAGGTGAAGGGGTCGAACGGGATGACCAGGGAGGGGAGGCAGCAGCAGCTGGAGGAGATGTGCATTTATAATTCACTACATTAGCCACAAGAGATTCAGTACTTAGTAGTTAAATTGCTAGCGTTGCATTGACAACATAACGTTTATAATTAACAATTAATAATTGTACTATACTATTATAATAATTATATAAAATAGTGAAACTTTTCTAGTCTCAAATAAAGCATTCGATGGCAATAGCAATTTCTAAATTGG